CCAAATGAATCAAGCGAGGCAGATAAAGCTAATAATCCAATACACGAAAATATTTTAGGTAGTCATGATAAAGATTTAAATAATACAGAAGTAACACCAAAATTTTCAGAGCAGGAGCTAATGTTACTTAAGGTTTAAGGTGAAAACGATAAAAAAACACCCAGATAATAAGTCAACATTACTAACCAATGCTCAAAACTATGTAATAATTCCTTAAAACGACCAATTTAACAAAAATAATAAATGATTATTTAATGCAGTAAAACTTTATTATAGCTATTTTTCATACATTTTATCATGTTTAGTCAGCACTCTTTTATATTTTACAAAATAATAGAAATTGAGCTACATTACAAAATAATTTTTCATGTTTTATTTAATACAATTTTATTAATTGAGCTAATTATGATAATAAAGAGATTCGAAATCTATTACTACTATCTTACCAGGATCAAAATTGTTTTACTTATTTCGATGATAATTTTTTTTAGCAATCGAATTATTTGAAATATTCGTTAAACATTTTCTTTATTCTTTCTGATTTTCATTTTCTACTAATGATTAGATTATTTTGACAAAAGAAGGTAATAATGTTATAGTATTTTGTAATAATAATCATTTCTGCTGGTGGATCTTATTATTTTTTATACAATTTCTGGAGATCTTATTAGTATTTTGTTTTATTACTTCAAATTTCTTGTTTGGAAATTTTGTTTATAAGGTTAAAGAAATCTCTCCTAAAATGTATTATCACTTATATTTGTTGTTTTATTTGATGTATATATGGGTTTTGGATACTATAAATATGAATATTTTTATCTATTATGTGCCAAGTTTGAAAAATACTTTATTGAAATAAAAAATTTCATTTTGTTTTATGTAAATTTTGGATTATTAATTGTGCTCTGGATCGTATCATTATTTAAAATAAGATTTCTAAATTATGCAATAACTGTCTCGAAAATATCTAAAAATACAAAATTTTATTTATAAATTATCTAATTAAGTATTTTTTGTAGTTTTAACATAAAAATTATGAACATAAAAAAAGTAGGCAAACTGCTTTTTAAATGTATAATTAAATATTTAGAATAAAGTACATTTTAAAACGAAATATTAGTAAAATGATATTTTGGCAATTTTACTAAAATTTGTAAAATATATTACTCTACAAGTGTTTATTAACTGGATTAATAATAAATTATGTCTAAACTTTCATTCAACTAAAATATAAATATGTTTATGGTTGTAAAAATCATTCCAAAGAATGTAGCATTCTGATTATTACCAATTAAAGTTTTTACAATGATGATCTTTTTATAAGTTTTATTTTTCTAAAGTCAATTCTTAAGTAAATGGTTATTCCAATTTTTTATGCCTATAAATAAGATCTTCTTACAAAGATCTATTGCTATAAACTTTTATATATAATATAAGATACCCATCTAATAATATGAAACATAAATATTGAATGTTTCTAAAGTTACTATAATTGCATATTTTTTTATTTAAAAAAACTTAGAAATTAATTATATGTATATTTTAGAAGATTGAATTGTGTTGATATTCTTAAGGATTAAAAGATATATTTATATAAAATTATCAGTAAAAAAGTGGAGTATAAAATTCTCTACCACACGTTCTGCTGCATTTGATTATAATTATTTATAAATTTTTTTTAAGTTCGTTTTATAAATTTTCTGCTTGTCTCGTACAAAGATTTGCGAATAAGCTGATAAATAGCTCAGTTAGTTTTAGAATCATGAAATTCTAATAATACATGAATGTTATTAATTAAACAAATACATTTAATAATATTTTTTCTACTTTTATTTTAAATTAATTTGTTTTATTTTTCTAATTTTAAAACTAAGATTTACTTTAATTTTTTACTTCAATAAATTAAACCAATTAAGAAATAAGTTTATGATATTTCAAATCAAAAAAAAATTAATCAATTTTCATACTTTAAATTTGATATAAATTTTAAAATAAAAAAGAACCTTTAACTTACCATTTATGAATTTGTTAATCATAATTAAAACTTAAAAGATTAATCCTAAATCCATTAATGGATCCAGAACAAAGACTTTATTTCATTTAAAGTAATTGCTGATGTTCACAGAGAAAGCAATGATAATGTATCATTGAAAGATTTCGGGAATGTGACTAATAAATTTGATAAAATCAAACAAAGTAAGCCAGAAGTAACGAAAATTCTTCATTTTAACTCAGATAAATGTTCGGTAGAAGAACAAAAAGAAAACAATCTTGAATACAACAACATAGCATTGATGTATTAGATATTAGTGATGAATATAAAAATAAACTTACTGTACAGTTTAAGGAACAAGTTGAAGTCAATGAAAATTCTAATTTGGTTTATTTAAATTTCACACCCAGACTAGAATCCCAAAAATCAAATTTATCAAACATTCTTTTAAAGACAAAAATAATTGACACTGTCTTATTTTCTTTAAATATCTTTTCTACAGCCTTTTTGGCTTATTTTACATTTATATTTTTACAAACTTCACTACCATTGTGAGAATAGGAGCATTTGCTTTTGTTTTGTATTTGGAAATATTAAAAATAGCATGTTTTTATTCTGGTGAAAAGAAATTACATCTTATTTTTGATTTTCAAAATACTTGTTGTGAATATTCCTTCTTTAGTATTTATTGGTGGAATGGGAAAAAAGTCACTAAATTAGATCTAATTGTTTTTATATCTCTTTTAGCGTTATACATATGTATAAGTATATTAGTTTATATTTCAAGATATGCGAGAAAATCAAAAATATTTTTTGCATTATTTCTAATTATTTCATTTTTTGTTCAATTTTTTTTGGTTGGTTTGATTACATGGATCAATTATTCATTTTTCGCTGTGTTTATTTCTCTTTGGTACTTAAGTTTATCTTATAAGTTTATTAGTAAGAAAGATTTTATTTTAGTCTTTTACTGTCTAGAAAGTTTATTTTTGTTAATACCTTTGATTTCTTACAGATTAAATCACAAAAATTTTTACGGAAATTATGAATAATCAATAAAATTTTAAAAAATATTTTTTAGGACAAAAGTTCAAAAAAAAAAGAAAACAAAATTGTTTTCAACTTTTTTATATAAAAACAAATAAAAAACAAAAACAATGTCACTAAACATTTACGAAGTAGAAGAACAAGAGTTAAGATTGTATGAACCATGGGGATATTCATCTATCCCAGACCAATTCAGACAGAAATCAATTGATGATGGATTTTATTTAAATTTACTTGTGGTAGGTAGAAAGGGGTTAGGTACAACAACACTGATTAATTCTATTTTTAATGCACCATTGATAGACAGAAAAAGGGGGTAATGACATAGAAAATAGCAAAGAATGAAATTTATGAAAATAAAATAAAATTATCTTTAGTGGTTACCACTTATCATGGCAAAAGATGTAAATGTTGTATAGAATTACATAAATGATAAAAATTTGGAATACTTTTACAACAAAAATGGGTTTAGGAGTACGTTTCAGGATAACAGAATACATGCTTGTATTTATTTGTAGCCTATTGATGAGATCACTGAAGATGAAATTAATATGTTGAAAAAATATCGAAAAGATGTAATTTAATGCCAATCATCCCCAAAGCGAATATTTTTACACCCGAAGAAATAGTAATTTTTAAGCAAAATACCCTTGAAATGCTAAAAAAAATGAAATTAGTATTTATTGGCCATCATACGCAGAAGATGATGAAGAAATGAAATTAGAAGCACAAAACTTGATGAAAAATTTCCTCTCTCTACTGCAGCAAGTGAATATTTATGAACACAAGGGTGAATATTTTAGAAGGCGAAAATATAAATGGAGATTAACAAATGTTTGCCAACCCAGACATCTCTGATTTTTTGGATTTAGAAAAAATGCGTACTAATTCCTTTGACAGATGACTTGCTTTTTCAAACAGAATCAATTTTCTACGAGGAGCTTTTAGGAAAAATGTACTAAAAGATAAAAATTGTGTGAAAAAATAAAAGGGATCTGATTGAACAGGTAAGAAAGCTCAAATAGTAATGCAGGAAGAATTGGAAAGAAAAAGAGGAACGAGGATAGAAAATTGAGATGATTTCTCCTTAAGAATGAAGAATTCCCACAAGCAAATGAGCATCAGCTCAGTTGATTAAAAAATAAGGAATTAATTTGTTTACATTGATTCAAAAAATAGTTCTTCTAAATTTAAATTTTCTTTTTCTAATTCAAATTTAGAGGTAATTTGTAATTAAAATATCTTGTAATTCTTGTGCTATTTGATTTGTAAAACGGAACACAAAACTGTGTTCCACATTCTGTAATTAAAAACTTATCCCTTAAAATTTGTTTCTATGTTTCACTAGTAATCTACACAAGTGTGACTTTACTTAAAACTGGGTTATGTCTATTAACTTCATTCAACAAATTCTCCTTTAAATTATATAATTTCTGTAAATGATCTTCTCTTAAATTCATTTTACATTTTTGTTATGTTTGCCTTAATGCAACGAAGTAAAGAAGGAACGAATTACTTTTTCAATTAACTGATTGACTTTTGCTAATTCATTTTTTGGAAAAAGAAGATTATTTTACACATTTTAGAAAAGAAATTTGTTTCTCTTAGGATTGTTTTTAAAAAATTGCAAATTTTTAACTCATTTATAACTTCAACAATCCCAGTTAAATTTTCTATTTTATCATCCGTAAAGGTGCACTTACTTGATTTATTAAAAAATTATCACATGATTTTGTAAAAAATAGACAATCCTTTCAAGGTAGGTATAGCTATTAAAAGAGAGGATTATTGTATTTGTTTTGTCTATTTGTAAAAAAACTTTGTTTATGTTTTTACAAGTCTTGGTGTTTTGTTCTAACATTTTATTAGTTCATTTTTAAAAATATTCACTTAAGATTTTTTGTAAAACTTTTTATTTATCATATTTTTTAAATAAATAACCATCTAAATAAATGCTTCAGGGTGTATGAGCTCAGTGGTAAAGCTTCAGATTTTAGATCTGTAGGTCGCCGGTTCAAATCCGGCTGTACCCTTTTTAATTTTTTTATTTAATTAATATATTTTTTTAAAACAATACAAATTATTAGCTAATTAATTTTAAAAGAAAAAAACACTGATACTTATGGTAAAAATATCAGTAGCAAGAAGAGAACAGCGATTATAACCAAAATCAAACAGAAGAGTACTATAATTACAACGATTACAAGTTAGAAATAGGCGATATAGAAAATTATAGGATTTTCAAAAGAATGGCAAGAGGGAAAGTACAGCGAAGTTTTTTGAAGGACGAAGCATAGTTGAAGAAGGGATCAGAAACTAAAAGAAAGAAGTATAAAAAGATTGTTATCAAAGTATTAAGAAACCTATTAGAATAGCAAAAGGTTAACAGAGAAGTCAAGATTTTAAAATCTTTACTTCAAATAATATTATAGGTTTGTTAGACGTTGTAGTTGACACAATACACAGACACATTCACTGATTTTTGAATATTTAAACCATGAAAACACACTTACAATCTTTGAAAAGTCTTCCGCAGAAGATGTAATTTACTACTCTAAGCAAATATTACAAGCCTTAGAACACGCCCATTCGAAAGAATTATGCACAGAATATTAAACCACAAAATCTTTTGATAGACCCAGAACCAAACACTTAAAAATAGCCGATTGGGGACTGGCAGGGTTCTATCACCCTGTAACTCTTACCCAGTAGAGTTGCTGCCGATATTACAAAGGACCAGAATTATTGGTTGGTTATGGTTACTATGATTATTCATTGGATATTTGGTCATTTGGTTGTGTATTTGCTGAATTAATTTTCAATAAAAGACCTATCTTTGCAGGAAAAGACGATGCCGGCCAATTAGAAAAAATAGTGGATATCTTGCAGGGTTTCAGATTTAAAAAATACTGTAAAAGATATAGAGTACTCCTATGAGATGAACTTATCGAAGGGTTAGAGGGATAGAAATAAAAGGCATTGGGATGACTTATTTGAAAGAAACAGAGTAAATGGTAAGAAAAAAGAAGCTTTGGATTTGCTTAACAAATTTTTGGTTTACGATCGCAATGAAAGGCTTACAACCAGAAGATGCTTCGGAACATCCCTTTTTCAAGGACAGCCAATAAAAATTTAATAAAGTATTTTAAAATTTTTTATAAAATTAAAAAAAAATTTACCCAATGGATCCGCGAAACCCATCCAGACACACAGAAACCTTACTACGACAATGAAATTTATTTGTTAGATGCATTCGAGTCACTTTAGTTGCGATTTGGGAAACATTTGCTCTAATTTTGGACTGACAAAATGACAATTTTTGTTTTGACAATGCTCATAGAAATAAGAAGACTGGACATAGGAATTTATATAGGATAGCAAAGAGGGTTTTTATTCATAGAAAGCTATGAAAAGATCACTGAAATTATAGGAAAGCTTAATGACATGAATGCTCTAAATTTTACAATGAAGTGCTCTCGGTCATCTTTTTTTGCAAAAAATAAGCTTAAAGAAAGTTTTTCTTCTTTCCAAAGGCGCTACATATAGGAAACATTGATTTTTTGTTGTATTATGGAATTGCAAGATGGAATGAAGCTACTAAAAAGTACCAAGAGCTGTGAAATATTATTCGATTGTGTTAAAAAAGTACCCTTCTCATTACTAGCCACAAAATCTAGGTATAGGAGTATGACAATCCTTAAAATGACAAATGCTTTATCGCACTTTAAAAGATTCTTGTTAACTATGGAAAAGGATGAGTTTTGTTTTATAGAAAAGGAAGCCTTTACCATACAATTTGAGTTGTTATGAATTAGAAAATGAGGATGAACCAGCCATTAAGCTATGCGAAAATATTATCTCAACAAAAGCCAAATTACATTTTTGCTTACAGGTTGATTTCACACATTTATTTAAATTAAAAAACTACCAAATCAGCTATAGAGCACTTAGACCGAGGTTTAAAGTATTTTTTAATGCCGATGGATATTTGTACTACTTGAAAGGAAAGATTCTTTATTTGCAAAATAATTATGATAGGTCATCAATATTACTTAGCAAGGCAGTGGAATATAGTTCTAATGATCCTTATATGGAATTCTTATGGGATGGTTTGTTACAAATTAAAAAATTATGAACAAGCAGAAATTTGTTTTAAAAATTCTATTTCCTTCGATAAGAATTTTTTAGAGCCAAAATTCAACTTAATGTTAGTTTTTAGATTGTTTAACAGAATAAACGAAACAAAAAAATTTTTAGATGAACTATGTATGAATAATAGAAGTGACATTGAACTGATTTCTATGTGTAAGAACATAGGATTAGATTCTGTTTTTTATGAAACTGAGTGTAGAGATTGTGATTTTAATGTTGGTACTTCTATGTATTTTTCAGATTCCTTTTTAGGAGGAAATTCATTCTATGTAGATGCTGGTGAATATTCTAATCTAGAAATTAGATCCTGAGACAGAAATAAAAAATGAATATTAAATTAATTTTTTATTTTTTTTTTGATCTCGCAAAATTGGGTTAAAAATTTATTGAGCATTTGAAATTTTTATAAAAAAATTGATTGTTAAATAAATATTTTTGGTTATATTTCAATTTGTTTTATAAATTACTTTCTTTTTAAGATATTTTATGAAATATATTTTTATGGTTTAAGTAAAATCGAGCGGTAAAATAGGTAACATTCTGCACATTTTTTTAAAACCTTTTTTTTGAGATAAAATGAAGTACATAAAAACATTAACTAATTTATTTGCTAATCAGCTTGTAGCAATATTTTAAATAAATTTTTTGTTGTCTAAGTGTTGTAAATCAGAAATTTATAATAAAAATATTAGACTTTCTTATAAGTTATGGTTTTAACTTTGATATTCGAAATTTAAAAAATAGTTTTTAAAAAAGTCATTAAAAAATGAAACTTTACTAAGATTGATCTAAACTATTTTAACAGAAATTATAATAACTCTTTTCTATATTGATGACAATTAATTCTTAAAAACTCTGTTCATTTAAAAAGGTTAAAAAAAAGGCTAAAAAACTTAAATAAATGGTGTAAATATATTCAATACATATATAATTTTATAAATAAACATATTGTCATATTTTTAATAAAAATTTGGCTAAATAAAAATGATTAATAAAGATAAATTACTTTATTTAGATTATTTTTCTTAGACATTTCATGTGTTTCAAAATATTCGATGTGAAATTTCTGATAAGGGAAGATTTACAGGCCCGAGCTTTGATTCTCTTTCCTTTTTTATTTACCTCTAAACAAAACCCTTCTGAAGTAAGTTTATAGCCATCTGTTTCTTTTTTTATACCCCAAATTGTTTTGGAAGCTTTCTTTGACTTTTTTAATTTTAAACAGGTTTGTTTTTTATTTAAAGTAACAAACCTATTTCTATATTTTGATTTTATTTTAAATAAATCTCCTCCTATACTTTCAATCAAAAATAAACTCTTTTTATATTCATTTGGCTTAATTTCTTTTTTTGTTTTTAAACTTATTCGTTTTATTATTTTTTACATAAAATATTTTTGTTGGAAATTGGTATGATTTAATTATAAAATTGTTATTAGTCTCTAAAGTAACGATATTACAGAAAAGGTACAAAATAATTAACATGATTTATTGGTATTTGTTTTTTTTAATGTTTTTAAAACGAATTTAGAAGTTTTCTAAATATAGAAGTTGAAACGAGGGTTTGAAATTATTTTGTTTTTGTCATATAAAAAACAGTTTCACATTTCGTTAAATACAATCAATAAAAATAAATATGCAAGATAACCGAAAGAGCCTTGAATCATTAATTTTGGCAGGGAAGAATATTGTTTTAGGTAAACGAGGATGCAAGTATTGCGACATGGCAGTTAAATTATTAATTACCAAAAAATATCAAATTTACTTATATAGAGTACAGTGAATGTGAAGATTATATCCGTGCCTTTGAAAAAGCTAGAGGAAAAATAACTTATCCTCAAGTGTTTATTAACGGCACTAGAATCGGAGGATTCACTGATTTAGAAAAATTAATTAAGTATGATTTTTTCATAATCGAGAACTTTGTTCATGAAGAACCAAATTGATAATAAAATTTATTTATAAAATTTTTAAATTGTATTGATTTTATAAATTTTCACTATAAAAATAAAAAAACTTTGTTTCAAGTCAATTGATTCTTTAAATATCAAATTTGTATATGACTTTTGTAAATTATTTATTTGATTTACATTCAACAAATTGTGTTATTATAACAGAATTGTTTTATAAATATGTGAAAAAATTTTTAAATTATTTCAGGACTTACCACCTTTCTGTAAAGTGTTTTACAATCTATAAAAAAGTAAAAAAAATTTAAATGATTTTATTTTATTAACTTTGGTCTATCATAGTCAATATTTCATTACAAATTTGTTAAAGTCGTAATCAGTGCAAAACGATTTCATTTATCAATAAATTAAATTAGTTTTAATTAAGAAATGAAGAAACATAGATGTTATGTATTTTCAAAAGTTATTTATTAAAAAATTGAATTAAAGATATATAAGCTTTAAATTCACAAGAATATGTATCGCGTACAAGAAATGAAGCCCAAAGAAGAGATGACCGTCATCTTCACTTTATATTGCTTTGAATGCTCAAACATTCTTGCATATAAAGCATACGAGGCTTATTTGGTTTTAAATCCACACGTTCTTTCATTTGTTAGCAACGAAGATTGTAAAAATCTAACCAAGATTAATGAAGTGTACAGGTCAAAGTATTGCTTATGTGATATCAAAGATAATGCATGCCTCAGATGCGGAACTATTGTAGGATACTCGGTTATACAACCATGTGATATTTGTTATCGAAATGATATTAATCGTAATACTACAGTGTTTTATGATATGTCAGTAAGGATTGGACTCTTTGATCTAAATTCCTATAACAATGATTATGACAAAGAGGAATATATACTTGACAGATAGTATTTTTATTTTGATTATTGCTTAATAGTGATTAAATAGTTTGAATTTGATA